TTTATGAAGGAGCAAGCTAGAAAAACTTTCCGGTAGATTTTCAGAATGCTTGAACAATTATCTAAGATGAAAATCTCCTCAGATTTTGAATAAAATTACTCCTTAATGGTTTGAAATTAATTTTAAAAGTTATTACTTTGTCAAAAATCAAGTTTTAAAAACGGTTAACTTGATGACGTCATCAAGGGGTGTTTATGACGTCAAATAATTTGTTTATACAATGTAAACTAAAGTGTAAACAATTATTTGCAAGACCTGTGGTCGGAAATGGCTTTATCTTTTATACTTTTGAATCTATGGACAATTAAATACAGGCTACAATTGACTGGCAAAGCGTCTATCCCTGAATATGTATGTATATATATATCACGACAATCTGTCGTAAAACAGGGGTTCTAGAAAACCCATTTCCCGATACTCCTGAAACCTGAAACTTTTTTTGCAGTCGATTTGATCAACGTCTAGACGCCCTGAAAAATTTCAGATCTCTAACTCAATTTAACATGGTTTTTAAGGCACCTGAATATGGCGATTTTGGGTTTTTTACCGAATTTCGTATAACAGTGCTGGCGAGTATTTTATGCAAATTTCTTAAAAATCTCAACATAACTATTTTTTATTCCTGTCATCTTTGACGTCAAATTAGAATGTTTTGAACTAAAAATAATTCTGCTTAACGACTTCCGATGAGTCTTAATGCGTGCACAAAAGAGGCTTGTAACGTGTACCAAAGGGGGTATAATAGTAAAGGGGGTATAATAGTAAAGGGGGTATAATAGTAAATGGGGAACATAGTATACCCACAATAAATGCAACGGTCGTGCTTGCCAGCACTGTGATATTTTTCTGCACTCTGCATAGTGAATTGTGCTCCTATGCTATATAACCATGTTACATCATTATTATATAGTTATAGTTATATAGTTATATGATATCATTAATTGAATTTAATTTCCAAAAATGCAGAAATATTAAGTCTTGAATCATGAAAAATCCTTAATAAAATTAATTTCGGTAAAATTCGAACTTCGAAGATAAAAATAGAAAACTTTGATATACATCTGCATCTAGAATACGGGGTTCCGAGTAGAACGTTACCACCGATACGAATGATGGTGGAACCGCATGATATTGGTACTGATATGTAATCTATTAATGACGTGGGCTTTTCGCTAGCATTCAGGAAATCGTTGCCCGCAACTTATGTCGCATAGCAACCGTGGCCTCCATGAAGTTTAAATGGCCCAATAAAGGCCAGAAGTTAATTGGAATAATTTCCAATTATCACGACTAATTAACTTAATTATCTAATTGTTAGTTACTCATTAGGCCCATATTCCGAACTAAATAATGTAGCCCAATAGATTTTGAACATCCGTGCATAAAATTTGTGTAATCAAATATTTTGGTTTGTCATCTATAGCCTCTAGAAAAGATGGGTCGTAAACGACCCTATCGTCCCTAATGGGTTAATATGAACGCTCGAAGGCATTCAAAACCATCAAAAATCCGAATTTTTTTTCATCTTTTTTTTGACGTTTTTTAAATTTTAGCAAATGATTTTTAAACGATCTAGTTTAGTTTAATGATAGCTATTGAAATTGACTGAAATTAAAAAGTTGTCATTCTGGACAAAAAGATTTAACGGACTTTAACTTGGACGGACATTAATTGAACGGACTTTATTTGAACGGACATTAAAATGAACGCTAGGGCCTCCAACGTTTTTTTAATTTCAGCAAATGATTTTTAAATCCATTTTTTATACAGTAAGTAAGAAAAGCAGTCATTAAGCAGTAAAAATGTAAAAATATGTGTACATGATCAGTGTCTAATAGTAATATCACATATCATCTTCATCAAATGGGTTTTCGTGCATGAAATAGTCCATGCTTAAACAAGCATCAGTGATTTCTAGCTTTATGGAAATCTTCCAAAACCCACCAAGCATCAAAATGTATTATTATTAGTTTACGTTACTCGGGAACATTATAGCGGGTTAATTTATGACTGGGAAAATTAATGACGGGAAAAATATGGCGGAATTTTCCAAAACCCACCACTTTATCCCAGTCATAATATTCCCGAGTAAGGTATCTAGAGGCTGGAACAAGTTTGTCATGTTGGCGGGGACTAACTCATGAACTATGTTGTTGAGTGCCATAATTTCTTTGACTTTTTCCGCCAAGTGACCCTTGAAAACATCATATACTAGTAGAGTTTTCTGTGCCTCCGGCAGACCAAGGAGAACTTTTCCGTCGTTAACTTACGGCACAATAAAGTTCTCATAGTTGTCATATTCTGGACAAAAAGTTCGAAATGGAAAACTTTTTGAAAAAATTTGAACGGACTTTGACTTGGACGGACATTAATAATTGAACGGACTTTATTTGAACGGACATTAAGATGAACGCTAGGGCCTCCAGCGTTCAAGTAATGTCCGTCCAAGTAAGGCCCGATAAGGTATTTATTCATTTTCATTTTTCATATTATTCCGATCCCGCCGCGCCGCCCCTAGTGTGTAGTGAGTAACTATCCGTGAAAGTTAGTAATTTAGTAGTTTTCATCAGTCCCTACGCTTTCTGCGGGATAATGATATTTTGTTAATTAGATTTTAGCCAATTTTAGCCAATTTTCATCTCACATACGAATCACAAAATATATTGTTGACACGAATTACGTTTTGTCTTTTATTAAAATAGCTCTGGTGCCTACCACGTTATAATTTTATGAGAGCAATACTTTTTTATAGTGCATATGACTTAAATCTTTAATAGTAACGACAAGTTGACTAAAATCATGTAATAAACGCCGCCGAGGTTTATGATTTATAAACTCGGCCCTATTTTACACCGTAGGTGATTTATTGGGTCAGGAATATCGAAGAGAACATTTAACTTCCTGTATGTGATATTAGATCACTGATCTTCATGAGTTCATCTATTGGGTCAGGAAATTCGAAGAAAATATAGGAAAGGAGTGTGGAATATTTTAGTCCCTATAACTACGCTTATTCTGCAGGATATTTTGTTGATTAGATTTTAGCCAATCTTAGCCAATTTTCATCTCACATACGAGAGATCATGCAATAAACGCCGCCGAGGTTTATGATTCATAAACTCGGCTCAATTTTACTACGTATGTGGTTTATCGGGTCATGAATATCAAAGAGAACATTTACGGACACGTTCGATTGAGTTTGAGGATATTGGTAAACAAAAATAATAGCGTTTTCGACGATAGTGGCTTAATTTTTGCATCTATTAACCTAGCACGTTCAGAAGTTCTGATCACTAGCCAGTTAGCCACGTGACCCATACTCCCGTCTACCATATGCACTGCTCAGAAATAAAATTTATTGTTGTTTGGCACTATAATGTTTAAAATGTCACATTTTTGTGACTTACTGACTTAGCTGCTCAATTAACATTCCTTGGTCTGAAATATAATAGATTATGTCAATCTAACAATTATAATACGCCATTAGTTAAAGGGTCCTCATGATCCAACGGTTATAAGGCAATATTTGGTTAAATTTGTCACACTTATAATACGATACCTCTTTTTTACTGTATCATGGTGTCCACAAGAACCTTTTAACTCATTACGTGATATTTATTCTATCGATTGCAGCCCTTAAATATATTAGTTCCCTAATACACGCACTTGATTATTGATATTTGGTTAATGAGGTTAATTCTGTCACATTTTATGGCACTTTAAATTTTGGATGCATTGCCGAAATCATTTATATCTGATTTTGGTTTGAAAAGCGGTAAAACTCCGGGGTTCCGTTCAGGCCCTTCACACTTTGTTTCTGTCTAGTTCTAATGTACCGTCACAATAGTGACTTTAAATATAAGGAGTATGGATGATTCAAGATAGGGCAGTTGATGTTAAAATTGTCACCAAAATGATGTGACGAAGTCAACATTTCTTGTCCTTATTTTTAAGAACTATGCCTCTATTAGAATTCAATTATCTTTCAGAAATAATTGGTAGATTATTGTCCAGCACATCAGAGCTCAAGTTGAACTTAGAGTTAGCCTCCGTAGTCGTTGATCTTGATCATGAACTGAATAACTAGATCACATAATTAAATGAAAGTTTCTTACTGATTAGATCCCAATTCCCAACTGACTTGTCTAGACAAGCGACCCAAAGAGAGAGGGAGAGAGAGAGAGAGAGAGAGAGAGAGAGAGAGAGAGAGAGAGAGAGAAAGAGAGAGAGAAAGTTTATATATTTTTACTTTCGGAACTTATTGTTCGAATTTTCTGTTTCTTTTTTGCATCCCTAACTTAGGATTCAAATTATAGTCATTCGATCGAATTGAAAGTAATACTGCACTTCTTGTGTATAAGAGTTTAGAGTGATACCCGTTTTATCGTATTTATAATCCTGTTATAGTGTTACAGCAATGACTGCTTGTGAAGGTTTGTGGTTCCATTATTGTACGATACTAATTATCGTACCTCCGTATTTAACTCATTATACGATACTACATATCGTATCTTCCTATTTAACTAATCATACGATAATAAATATCGTATCCACCGTGTTGAACTAGTGTATGATACTGTTTACCGTAGGTACGTTATTGTGATTATTGGTCTCTCTCTCTCTCTCTCTCTCTCTCTCTCTCTCTCTCTCTCTCTCTCTCTCTCTCTCTCTCTCTCTCTCTCTCTCTCTCTCTCTCTCTCTCTCTCTCTCTCTCTCTCTCTCTCTCTCTCTCTCTCTCTCTCTCTCTCTCTCTCTCTCTCTCTCTCTCTCTCTCTCTCTCTCTCTCTCTCTCTCTCTCTCTCTCTCTCTCTCTCTCTCTCTCTCTCTCTCTCTCTCTCTCTCTCTCTCTCTCTCTCTCTCTCTCTCTCTCTCTCTCTCTCTCTCTCTCTCTCTCTCTCTCTCTCTCTCTCTCTCTCTCTCTCTCTCTCTCTCTCTCTCTCTCTCTCTCTCTCTCTCTCTCTCTCTCTCTCTCTCTATATATATATATATATATATCAACACTACTATATAACAAATAATTTGAGATAACGATGTTTAATAAAATGATGCAAAGACTTATTTCGAAGATCTAATCAACACCGACTTTTAATGTGTAGGAGTACAGCTACAAAATATATATATATCAGTGATGATATCATGGTTTTGTATCATGATTGAAACATTTGTCTGACTCAACCGGTCGTTTCATTTTGTATCTAGCTCTCGGCTTGCCGATTGAGCACTGTAAGCAGACGACGCCACCCACAATTATATATATTTGATCGAACAGGCCTAAATTCATGATGCACTATAAACTTGATTTGCGACAGAAATTTTAGACACTTTATCTGCTTACGTGTAATTTCAAACTCTTATCAGTTACCATGTCTTTTATCTAATTTTTATCAGCAGATTTATAAATCTGCTGTTCATTTGTAGTTATTACCTTGCTAGTTATGAGTAAATTTTTGCCTTCCATCATTTGAGTGCAGCTTTCAATTTCAAAATTTTCAGTTTATTCAGATTTTTCGTTTTCAATATTGCAAATCTTTAATAAATCATGTTCAGATTATGGTGATAATGGATGTAAAGGTACTTCAACCGAATTAACAATCCAACCGTGTGTATGACGTGTCCCAGTAGCCAATCATAATATATATATATATATATATATTTCGTTGCTGTACTCCTACACATTAAAAGTCGGTGTTGATTAGATCTTCGAAATAGTTCTTTGCATCATTTTATTAAACATCGTTATTTGAGATAAAATTGTTTTAAAAGCAACTGGAATATGCACAAATCTTTAAAATAACTTACAAACTAGGAAAGGAAAACAAGTCTTAGGAAGACGTACAAAACTATGTGACTCAAAACGGTACAAAACTAAAAAATACTGAGTAATAATCAAACAAAAAGAATGGCTGAGTACATTTTATCTAATCTATTAAAGATTAGTTTCTCGGAAAAAGCTAGATTTCTCTGAATCAAGCAGTAAAAATATTAAAATAGTGATGAATATAACACGTCTCTGATAGCAATATTGTAAACTAAACACGGGTTTATAGGCTAAGATCATGTTAAATAAAATAAATAAACTAAACACTAAGCTCCAGCGGATTTAAAAAGGATGTGGTTGCTATATATATATATACAAAAAATCATAAAATAATAAATATCAAACAAGGGACTTCCGAGCAAGGCCAAAGCATGGGAGATATGTCTCTATGCGGGGATGGGCCTAGGTTGAGTTCCTAGTGTGGAATTTACCGGAAGTTCCTGTTGAAGAATCCTAGGAGGTTACCCAAAAAGGTTGTCCCTATCTAGTCTTGTCGACTGTTACACAAATTTGAAGATATGGTTGAGTTTACTGTTGTTAAGATCCTCCATACGCGTCATGATCTGGATGCACTTGCAGAGGAGATGCTGGGATGTTTCTGGAACATCTAAGTTTTACTCGATATGAATACCTAGTAAGTTGAGTTAATCTGAGATATTCAGAACGAACCTAGAGTTAAAACTGGTGCTGTTAAGCGCTTTAAATGAATCTGAGAGGAATTAATGATTGATGGAGATCCTAAGCTATCATTCTACAAGCCTTTTTCGAGCCCAATAAAATAGGTAAACAAAAATAATAGCGTTTTCGACGATTAGTGGCTTAATTTTGGCATCTATTAACCTAACATGTTCAGAAGTTCTGAACATTAGCATCTGAACATTAACCACGTAACCCATACTCCTATATGCACTGCTCAGAAATAAAACTTATTGTTGTTTGGCACTAATGTCACATTTTTGTGACTACATGTAGGTGCCCAATTAAAATTCCTTGGTCTGAAATTTAGTAGATTAGGTCAATCATCTAACAATTATAATACACCATTAGTTAAAGGCCAGGGTACTGATCCAACGGTTATACGGCAATATTTAAGGATATAAACTTCGTACTGGTCAAAAGGCCATAAAAGCATTCGACACAGTCAAAAAAGGTTTAATGATATATCCCTCACGGCTTTCGTGGAAAGTCATGTTACTAAGTTGATGACTTGGTGTCAGTAAAATGGCAATATATATCGTCTCGCTTCATATATCTATATATATATATCATATATGTATATATATAGAAGACTATTTCCTCCTAAATGTTCCTCCTATTTCAAACTATAGTAAAACCGAGAGAAGTTTCAGCTACTGCGGACCCTCTGTTTGGAATAAGCTTCCTTATCAATTGAGAACACTAACCGATATCGTCTTATTTAAAAAGAAACTAAAAACTCATCTCTTTGAAAACGTATTTGTATAAGTATCATGTATTACCTTTCTCATAAAATCCATACTTCATAAAAACAAGTTCTTATGTACATGTTACTCATGAGTCGCTTTAGATGGTTTGAACTGAATCTTTGGGTTTTGAGTTCTTTATGGCTATAAAGCGATGTATAAATTCCTACTTATTATTATTATTATTATATTATCGGACATAATTACCGCAGACATTACTTTCACGCTGAAGACCTTAGCGTGAACAATTGTCCGCGACAATTATGTCCGATAACTATAAGGTAGTAAGTTAATGAGCCATCTCGAGTTTTCTTTTTTTAAATACAGCTCATTACACTGCATTCTGATTTCTGGTTGAAAGCGGTTCAGAGGAAGCTCCGCAGTTGATCATCTCTCAACGGATTCTGGGTATTAGGTTAGCAGCAGGTATGATGTTACCATCCCTCGAGCTATTTCGTTTTATTTTACTGGTAGGTACGCATTTCCTTTTTCCTGGAATTATGTGAATATTTTAACTATATTCTGATCGAGTTTGTAGAATGTAGATGCTTCATTATATTAGTCTCTATGTTTTCTGCATTCTGCACAGTTGCATTAGAATCTATAAATATATGGGCTGTCTAATAAATATCTTGCTCAGCTAATCGCAGCATTGAACACAGAGTGAGCCTCCTCACTCCTCAGTCGTTGATCTTGATCATGACTTCATTAATCTTAATCAATAATCTCAGGCCGAAGGCCGGCTTACACTAGTCACACTCACAGGAGGACCAAAGTGCCAAGAAACTGCTGCTAAGTGCTAACTGCTGCTCACTGCTGCTCACTGCTGCTCACTGCTGCTAACTGCTGCTAACTGCTGCTCACTGCTGCTCACTACTGCTCACTGCTGCTCACTGCTGCTCACTGCTGCTAACTGTTGCTCACTGCTACTCACTGCTGCTAACTGCTGCTAACTGCTGCTAACTGCTGCTCACTGCTGATAACTGCTGCTAACTGCTGCTAACTGCTGCTATTGTGCTAACTGCAGCTCACTGCTGCTCACTGCTGCTCGCTGCTGCTCACTGCTGCTAACTGCTGCTAACTGCTGCTCACTGCTGCTAACTGCTGCTAACTGCTGCTAACTGCTGCTAACTGCTGCTCACTGCTGCTAACTGCTGCTCACTGCTGCTCACTGCTGCTCACTGCTGCTAACTGCTGCTAACTGCTGCTCACTGCTGCTAACTGCTGCTGTCGCGCGCCCCATTTGAACTTGGCCCTTAAACTATAATTAAATATAAACACATAATTAAATGAAAGTTTCTTACTGATTATAGATATCAACTGACTTGTCTAAATTTAGACAAGCGATCCAGAAGGAAGAGGAACTCATTTTATCCTCATTTTATCATAGATGATACGTACGAACTCTACGAACTCCTCAGTGACAACGAACTCTACGAACTCATCAACCCAAAATTACGAACTCTTGAGGAGTTCGTTTTGTACAACTTACGTAAAATGAAATTAAACAGAAATTGTATTTACAATTCAGCCAATTCAACACATAACATACGATTGTAAAACAACTAAATATATTGGTACTCGAAACTTCTACCACACGTCGCGTGTACACTGTCATGTACATTTCACAGTACAAGGACTGGTCGATCGACTGGAACATTCTGGCGCCAATAGTTTGCGCGCGCACGTTCCCTGGACACGTTGCAGAAAACTTCAATATCTGAGATCATGCGAGAAATCCTGAGCTGATTACTTTTTTAAAAAAACATTTTCCATGTTTTTTTTTGAAAAATTGACTAACGAACTCCAACGAACTCTAACGAACTCCAAATTTTGAACGAACTCCACGAACTCTACGCCAAAAATCAACGAACTCCGCATCTATGCATTTTATCGTTGGTGACCTAAAGTTTGGCTTCCTGGAACACTTTAACCTTAGACCTGTAACATAATCACAATCCCGCCTTATTTTCTAAGAGTCTTTGTCTTTAGGAGGAATTAGTTGTAATGTACTTACGGAACGTTCACTAAAAATGAAAAGAAAGCGGCGCCGCTACTTCGAAGAATTTAGACGAGTAACATACGTCAATATTACTGTTCAGTAGCATAAATACTGAGTGTGATCTTTGGCTCATGGCGAAAATTTCAGAAATCTGTGCACAGAAATAGGTTTGCTTCATTTTGTATCAGTCTAGGAAAATTAATAATTATCAGATTGAGATGGGGAAATCACAATGCTGGCAAGCACCAAGCATTACCGTTGCCATTATATTTATATTTACAATACTATTTACCCCCTATACTATTATATCCCCTTTATTGTTTTTCAGCTAGGCATTAAGACTCATCGAAAGTAGTTCAGCAGGTATATTTAAGCTTAAAACATTCTAATTCAATGTTAAAGATAACAGGATTCAGGAATAAAAAATAGTTATGTGAAGGTTTTTAAGAAATTTGCGCAAAATACGCGCCAGCATGTTATACGAAATTCGGTAAAAACCCCAAAATCGCCATATTCAGGTGCCTTGAAATCCATGTTAAAAATGAGTTAGAGATCTGAAATTTTGCAGGGCGTCTAGACGTTGACCAAATCGACTGTAAAAAATTATAAGTTTCAGGAGTATCGGGAAGTGGGTTTTCTGGAACCCCTGTTTTACTTGTCATACGTTGTATGACCCGCCGCGCACGAAGTGCGCGGCTCCCCATAGTGAAACGACCGTGGGGGTCGCAACGTGATACAATGTTTTACAACAGATTGTCATAAA